AGGGGTAATTTGTTGTTGTTAATTATCAATGCTAGATTAATTTCCTATTGATTGATTTAATGCTCTGTGACTAGATTAGGCCTATCTTTTATGCATGAGTATGACAACATTGATTCGAGATTCGACAGATGAGAATTATTGTTTAGGTCTAGTTTCAATAGGCAGGTTAATTTATAAATGGTTAAGTCGAGATTCGAGAGATGAGATTTAATACCAGTAGATTAATTCTGTGATTGTAATACGTAGCGAAAGCCCTTTACAATCTGGTTAATTGATGCATTGATGATTGACTATTATTGATTTTTGATATTGCATGATAATTTCTTATTGAATTGTTTTAACGCTTTACAACTGCGGCTTGTAAAAGTATAGCAATATTGAGTTGATGAATCGAGCAGATGTTAATTTGATATTAAAGGCTATTTTCAATAAGAACTTAGATTTAGTAAATTGCGAGAGCCTGTTAGATTTATGTTGATTAATAAATTGCGAGAGCCTGTTAATCATGTTATTTATGCAATGTCAATGATTGATTATTATGTTTTACCTTGGAGTATTAATTATTGGTGAACCTATGCCCTAGATCCTTTTATATATTGTTTTCTCCCTATTCTCAATCTTAGTAGTTAGTTTCTTATTCGAATATAAATATTGGTTACTTAGATAATTTAGATTATAATAATTAATTAGGAGTAAAAAGACTTGTTTCCCTGTGGAGATCGACCCTACTCCCCTATCTGCTTAATTAGAGGACTTAGGAATTATTTTTGATTTGGGGATACGACTTTACCCTGTCACTAAGCAAACCTGAAGTAGCATGCAAACTCAAGTAAAAAACTACAAATTTTTTCTAATAATTTAGAATTTGAAATTAAATAACATTTTAAAATATTTTTGTTGCAAATAAACTAAATAGTAATAAAGATGGATGATACAAGATTAAATTCCATTTTAAAAAAATACAAATTTTTATTATATTTTTCAATAATAATTGAGATAGGTATATTAATCATTATTTATTTGGTTCGAGTGATATATGAAAAACGAAATAATGTCTATTTTTGACATAAATTCTATTTGCTTAACCATCTATCAACTCTATATAAAAATGATATATTAAATTATGTTCGTACATTTATTTATACCATTCTCTTTATTAATAAAAAAATGTGATTTTGTAAAATATATTACAACAACACTTAAAAATAAATGTTTAGCGGGTGATTATACACGAGGGTTTTGATCATATGATAGAGTTTGGTGAATTATACAAGTAGCTCTCAATATAGGGTAGAATTTTGGTGAACTTCACTCCTACACTGCGGATTGTCTAATAATGTTTTGATTTTAAGGGTTTTTTTTCCCTTTCTTATTATTATTATTATTATTATTATTATTACTATATATATGTATTTTTAATTTTTGGCAAGGTAATCATATCAGATTGTTCAATTTACTGTAGTTATTTTTTTTTATTTAAAAAAGATCTTAAAGTGTTGGTTGATCTAATTTTAGGTTTTTATTGAGTTATAATTAATAAAACATACAATTTTTATTGTGTTTATTTTCAATATCAACATACTTATTAAAATATGTACTATCCTCGAAAAAAATTAAAGGGCCCAAATATATAATTTAGAACAGGGCCCCTAAAATCTTCAAGACGGCCCTGTATATAGGCCACGATGTTTCATCATGTAAGTTCTATGGTGGTTGTCTAAAGTAAACACACAAATAAGATTTAGACATTTGTTGTTATAATATTGAGGTTAGTGTAATTGATCAGCTTAGTTGGTTGAAGTTTTAGTTTGTGGGTGGTATATACACCTTGATAATTTATTACTTAAAAAAAATCAATAAAAAAACTATTTTAGAAAAGTATCCCACATTAGAGAAAGAGGAAAGATAATTCCACATTATAATAAAGTAGATTGATTTTAATGTGGAACCTCATTAGGCCTTGTTTGTGAACTGAACTCTTCTTTAATTATCCATGTTTATATGAAATTCTAGCAAACACAAATGGAAAAATTGTCGATAAAATCTTACAAATTCAGATAAGTGAAAATTAGACAAATATAATCCACCCTTATTCTAAACATGATCATGTCAAGCCCGGCCCAAAAAAAGGTCTTGGTTTGAGCAGCTCAAAAAAAATAAATAATAGTTAAAATTTTTGAAAATTTTACACTACACCATAGTATAGCTTCTCCTACCTATACCCCCCTCCCCAAGTGACGTCATTTGGTTCTTTTTTGTATTTACTTTCTTTTTTTCTTTTTTTGTTATATACCATTGCAAGTTAATTCAATGTTTTGAGTTTCAATTCCATGTAAAAATTATTGTACTCGTATAAAATAAAGAGTGTGAAGAGATTTCAATAGTATCAATTATAATAAAGCAATTGATGATCTGTGTTTCAAAAAACTAAAAAGCAATTAATGATCCTAACTCACAAGCAATCAACTCAATAAGCAAATTGCAAGCCTAATCGAAGCAATTACGAACAAGTTGCACTTGTTATGGCACCGGTGGTGGCGAGATGATGGTGGTATTATGGCGGCGGCGGTAGAGAGACAACAGTGGTCGTGGGGCAATGAGGCAACAATGGTTATTGTGGCTTAATTAGTTGAGGGGGAAAGTGCAAAGGATTAAGAAGCAGGGAAAATATAAAGAAGCTCAAATCACCATTGATAAAGCTTGCTTCTGATTTTAATGAGAAGTGTATAATTTTTAATTTTTTTTTATAAACAGTATACTCGTATAATTTTATAATTGAACATATAATATTTTAAAAATGAACATATTTATTTATTAGTTGTAAATGAACATACAATTATTTATAATTGAACATATAATATTTCCAAAATAATGAACATATTTATTTTATGGTTGTAAATGAACATACAATTATTTATAATTGAACACATAATATTTCAAAAATGAACATATTTAATTAATATTTGTAATTGAACATATAATATTTCAAAAGTTGTAAATGAACATACAATTATTTATAATTAAACATTTAATTAAGGAGCATTATTATAGATGAAAAATGTACAAAAATTTAATTTTTCACTTGTGATTGTAAAATTTTGAAGGTAGCACACACTCCTTATTGTAATTGTAAGAATCATTTCCATGACAACTACAATATAACACACTCTTATTGAAATTACTTATTAAATTTGTAAAAATAACTACTTCATGATATAATTGAGTGCTTTAATTAGTAGTATAAAAATTACTTTTAAGTATATGCACATTTTCATTTTAAAATTAATGCATTTACTTGTTAAAAATGAAATGAACATGAATAAGAATAAAAATGAGCATTTATCAATACGTAAATTAACATTTATATATAATGAAAATGAACATTTATCAATACGTAAATTAACATTTATCATTTATTAAAATGTGAATGACATTATACTAACCTATAAATGAACATTTAACAAAATGAAAATGAACATTTATAAAAATAAAAATAAAAAATTAAAGAAATAATAAAAATAATAATAATAAAAAACTATGAACTATAATCTTTGTTTTTCTTCTCTAAAACGGTTTCCTTCGCTCTACAAACAAAACTGAAGAATGTACTGATATAATTTACTAGTTTTTCAATAAAAATTACTAAGATTATAGTATAATACTTACATTGATATACAATTTTCATGGTTGATGTTTCGATTACATTTTCAAAATACATCACAACAAAAAAAATTAGTAAAACCTGGGGTTTATTCTCTTTTTCATTCCAAATTTAAACAAAATAACTTACTTTTTCAGATTTTGCGCCTTGTTTATTGAATTTCATAGTGCTTGAAGTTTTTTTTTGTGATAATTTAAAAACAATTTTGTTATTAAAGCTTTTGATGAGAGAGAAACTTGCAGAGAAATGGGTGTGGAGAGAGAAAATGTAAAAAAGGGTGAGGAGAGATAAAATGAAAGTTAGTGGAGGGTGTGGGTAGTACTCTAAATGATGCGTTTAGAGGGGGTGTAGGACTGTAGGGTGTCCTACCTACACTAGGGTCTAGTGTTCACTAATTAAAAATTTTAGCGCCACGCAATCTTGTCTTAAAAAGCCCAACATTTGGCCCAAATTACAGGGTTTAGCACGCCTTTTTCAACCCGATCCATAAGATTGACTCGAAATAAGCCAACATTTTTTTAGCAAAATTCGGCCCATGATCACCTCTACCTGGTTCCTACTACCAAACCAATATGATGCAATAGCAAGGGCCTGTTCACTTCAACTTAATTTTAGTTCAGTTCAATTCAATTTAGTTCCAATCAGTTCAGTTCAATTCAGTTCATCTCCTAATTTCCTTCTCTCATAAAATATTCATTTCAGCTCTATTCAGTTTAGTTTAGTTCAGTTCAGCTCCAATTAGTTCATTTCAGTTCAGTCCAGTTCACTTCAGCTCAGTTAAGTAAATGTGAACAAGCCTTAAGTGCACTCACCAATGAAATTCCCTTAACAACAACAACAACAACAACAACAACAACAACAACAACAACAACAACAACAACAATAATAATAATAATAATAATAATAAGGGTAATGTTATGTGTAGCCCTAAAGACTACATATAAGCATTAAATATACTTTTGGAAATTGTATAAAATTAGGAATTCATGACAAAAACACACATAAATAAGTGTTATTAGTGTTTATATTTTGATGATTTTTTAATTTTTTTACGATTTTCAAGTGTAAAATTAATGCTTATATGTAGTCTTAAGGGTTATGTATAATATTTTCCTAATTATAATAATAATAATAATACTACCTTCGCTACAGGTTATATGTAATGATTAGACATTTTCCCTCTCTATTTTATGTCAAATCGTTGCACATATAACGGATGTAGTAATAATAAACTAATAATAAAAGGTTAGAACATTAGTTTAGAACCATCCATCCAAATTCCAAACCCACTTTTGCACAAAACTAGGGTAGACTAGAGGCCCACAAATTGAACAAAGTCATTTTCATTGGTATAAAAGTAACAAAGAATGGCCCACATTTGTAGACCCAATTACCCATTTTCTGATCCAACCCACGTGAGTTTGACCCACCGGTCATCGCTTTCTTCCCTCCGATCCGCTGTCACCGCCTTCTTCTCCCCCTCCTCTCTTTCTCTCTCTTCCGTCAATTATTTTCAGCTCATACTTGTTTTGACCCACATCAATTCCAATTCTCACCTTTTTTTTTTATAATAAATCATAAAAATTGAGAATTTTGAGCCAATGTTTGCTGATTACACAAATTATCCAAAACCCACAAAAAAACCAAGAAAATTCTGCAGATTTTTTTGCTCACAAACAAATCAAATGAATATTTTGATGTTTCTTTGATTTCTGGAAGTACCCTTTTGAATGCATAAGAAAACCCAATTCTTTGAATTTTGATTTTATATACAAAGTTTTTAATTTTTTTTTTAGCATGTCTGATTTGGTGGCCCGCACGGGTCGTCTTCAACAAAGATATAATGATGGCTGTCGCCTTGTTGCTGGGTATTCTCTATCTTTCCTTTTTTTCATCTTTACACTTTAATTAAGTTTTTTTTGTTATTTTCTATGTTTAATAATATGATTTAATGGATATTTTGTCCTGTGATATGAAGTATGTTTTTTTTGTTGATTTGATGTGTTGTGTTATTCTTATTAAATATAATGGGAATTTTGTTTTTGCCATTGTCGTTTTCCGAATGTTGCTGTCATTGTATTGTAGGTCAATATGGAGCAGTGATAGTTTCTTTTGTTGGGGTTCTTGTGTTGATTGTTACATTTTTAGTCTAAATTGTGCCAATGTGGGTATTTATATTTTTGTTCTTTAACAATTTGATCGATTTCCTAGATATTTTCATTGTAATTATTAATTTTTGGCTGTCACCTTCATATTTGATTTATTAGCAAACTGAGAAACCTTATTCTCAATTGAAAAGGTCTATTTGAATACTGAATTTTTTATTACTAAAATATCATTTGGTTGACAAATCTTGGTTGTTTCATTGGTTAGCTACTTACCTGAGAAACTTTAGTCTTGTTTGACAATTGAGCATACAAGTGATTTGGGGTTATTCTTTTGGTTTCTGTGTTTAGGCTGCCTGTATTCTATTTTCTTGTTCAACATTGTGATTGGTGAAAGGAATTGATTTTAGACAACATAATTGACTTGAAATTCAGTTGGTGCTACTTTAGGTTGTAGGATAAGGATTGGGTGTGGTTGTGAATTTGAGAGGTTTGGGTACATGCTCTTGGATAAAGATTGTTGCTGTTGTGATTGCAACTAAAACAAGTTCAATTAGACTTATGGTAGTTTGGAGGTATAAAACTTGTCCTTTATTAGTTGAAGTTTAAAAATGGTAGAGAGGTTGATGGAGAACATGTTGGCAAAAGAAAAGTATTAAAGAAAATGTTCTTGAAGAATAGAAGTTACGTAGTATTAGATAGGCATTCAACAATCAACATTCTTCAAAAGGCTAATAAAAGCAGTAATAGTAATAGTTGGGTAAAATCTTCTTTTTGAGGTTGTTGTATTGTTGGACCCATGAGTAAATATCATGCATGCTTTTGCTCAAAGTGCCCGCCAGGAGAGGGTGTGTGTGTGTGTGTGTGTGTGTGGGTCGGTCTATACGAGCTTTTTAATTTGTTGATCATGTGAACTTAAGGGCCATTCCTCATTTTAAGAGAGTGGATATATCGCTCAACACCCATGGGATGCACACATAAGAATTCGGATAGAAAAATCACTTTGTTACAAGCCCCATCGTTAGCCGTTGAGAATGAAGAGTGCACTAATTCCTACTGTCTACAATTCTTCTACTACCTCTGTTTCATATTATTTGCAACTATTTGACATAAAGTAGAGAGGAAAAATGTCTAATCATTGCAAATAATATGAAACGGAAGTAGTAGTTTTTTATTTTTATTTTTTACATAGAAAGTGTAATTAATAAGAGTACATTTTTCTTATCCAATAAAATTTTGCATAGGCAAATCTTATGCTAATAAGTTTAGTGAGAGTAAGCTTAGGTCTTTGCTATGCTATTTGGATTCTGATATCAGTGTTAAAAGACATTGGATATTATTGGTCCAAAATGAATGTATCAAGAATCCATAATCTTGTCAGGATAACTGGTCTAGTATTCAATTATGAGCTAACTTGAATAGTCATCTAGGATTTACTAAAGTGGAACATAGTAAGCGCTGTGATAGATGTTTAAAGACTTAGTTCATGTATGACTACTTTGATATATGTTGATCCTGGAACTGAATCTAATTAAATTCCAGCTTTGGGTTGGTGATTATGAATCGTTTTAGCTCTTTTCTTATAAGCTTATTATTTAAGAGAGCAATTAAATTCATTTTGGCTAACTCTTGATGAAGCACCAGTGGTTCTCAAAGGTTGAACATATATATAGAGTATTATATTGTAATGCTGAGGGGTCATTTAGATCGGGCTTTTTTTTCCAACAGATACAGAAATGTAATTGTAAGATCTTTTGAGGTGTTTAATATAACAAGTTCTTGACATGTGGGGGTGCTTTTTCTTTTATAATTTCCCTTTTGGTGATCTAGCTCTAGAGTGGTAAGCCGGTAACTGCTAATTACTATCTTTTGAGCCACGCAGTTAAACTAAACGACTTAAGTGGAGAGTTAAACACGATTGTTACACCACTATCTGTTATTGGTCATACTACAAATTCTACAATATGTATAACTGTATAAGTGTACATTATCTTCTAGTCTGTTTAGCTTTCCTCAGCTAAATTGTGCCTTTATAACCAGTAATGCCATACATGCTTGCTAAGTCCTCTAGGGTTAGTTTATTTAAGCTTTTAAGACCCAAGTGAAAGCAATATCATGAGATTCCTAAGGTGTCTGTTTTACAAATCACTTATTAGCTTTATTATGCCGCTGTCGAAATTTAAGTCAGAGTACGTTTAGCGGGCAGGAAGCAGGTTGAGCTTTCTAAGCAATCATTAACTATGCCCCAACTAGGATGTAAACTCTTGGCAAGGACTATTTAGTCTAACATATAGATTCAATGGTCTCAGGGTATTTAAATTTCGAATATTGGGTTTATTAATCTATGATAAGTGCTGTGCAAACTAGTGAATGTTTGATAAACAAGTTGTGATAGCTATTCACTTTTACAATCTGTTATGTTTGCTTCTAATGTTTGATAAACAAGTTGTGATAGCTATTCACTTTTACAATCTGTTATGTTTGCTTCTAGTTGCATATTACTTGTTTTCTTTTCTTAATGATATATTGATGTATATGTGGTGTCTCATTGGAGTCAAAAGGTATTGTTAACCCATTGGATCTGATTTAGCAGAATATCTCATGGCAGGTGTATACCATTCAGATATAGAAATGGCGAGGACAATAGTAATGACGATTTAGAGAGCAATATCGAGGTACTTATGATCAACTCGCAGAGTGGTCCAGGTCTTCTCTTCCCTAAGGTATGGAGAATTTTTTATACATTCTTCGTGAAATAATTTTTTATACATTGGCACTTAGCATTTTTTTAGTTAATTATAAATCATGACCATATAGTTTGCTTGGGAGGTCAGTAGTCACTTACATGCAAATAATCCTATTAAATTGAATCTTCTTCTTATGTTTTCATAAAAGCAGCCTCTATGTTGACCATCAATTGATGATGCTACCCACTAAAATGTTGTGTAGTCTTTGTTGAAGCTCTCACCCAAAGATTGTGTTTCTGGTTTAGGTACCTTGTTTTGAAATTTTCAAATTAAGGAGAATATTATAATGATTTTTTTTATCTGGTAGGATGGAAAGGCATCAATCAGTTAAAGATTTATATATTCGTTTGATTGGTATTCTATTTAGATTTCAAAATGCTATTATCTTTCTATTTTATTCCTTTAATAGGTGCCATAATAAAAAGGAAAAATACACTTTAATAATCCCAACTATGGGCGATTTACCTACAATAATCCCAACTAACGTTTATTCTACAATAATCCCAACTATTAGGTCAGTTTTCCTCCAGCAGTCCCAAACCGGTCAACAAAAGTCAACAACCTATTATTGAAGGTTGTTTGACACATGTCAGTGTGTGAGTGGTTCTAAAAAAATTAAATAAAAAAAACAAAAAAAAAAACAAAAAACCAAAAAAAAATCCGGCAGCCACCATTCCAGCCCTTAACCACCACCTCCACCTCCTGCTGCAACCCTAAAACACCACCTTCTCCAGCCACCCACGCCGGAAACGACTCCCAAGACCAGCCGCACCCCCGAAACCGGCCAAAACACCTAAACTTGGCCGTGAAACCACCAGCAGCGGCCCCAAATCGCACCAAAATACCTTTGTGCCACCGCAAAACACTAGGGCCAACCCCCAACCCCTCGAAAAATGGCCATCCGTCTCCCCTAACCCTCAAAAACGACCCTCCTTCTTTCCCCAACCCTCGAATTCGCCCCCATGGGAAGTTTCAAGGGTGTAGGAAGGGAGGAGTGGTTGATTTTTTTTTTTTTTTTTGAATTGATTTTCCGGCGAAGGGGTTGTAAGGGAGGAGAGTGGTTTTAGGGGGTTGGGGTTGATCGGGGGTGTGTGTTTCGAGGGTAGGGAGGGCCGACCGGCCGTTTTCGGGAAGTTAGGGAGGTGGTCGGCCTGTTCCGATTGGCTGTGGGTGGCTGGGAACGGCGGTGGTTGGCTGGGTTGGGCTGATTCGATTTTTGTTTTTTTTTTTTCTTTTTTTTTTATTTTTTAATTTTTTTTTAAATAAGCCAATCATGTGATGACACGTGGCATTTAAAAAACAAAAAAAAAAAGTTTACCCTCTCAGCAGGTAACCGGTTTTTGGGACTGCTGGAGGAAAACTGACCCAATAGTTGGGATTATTGTAGAATAAATGTTAGTTGGGATTATTGTAGGTAAATCGTCCATAGTTGGGATTATTAAAGTGTATTTTTCCTAATAAAAAATCCAAATTAGAGATATTATTGCCTCCTTTTTATGCCCCTTGTGTCTTGTGAGGCTGGAAATAACAATCTGACTTCTTTCTATTCACTTCTCCATTGAAGGTCTTATATTGAGATTTAGTGTTGGTTTTATGATTTGTACTTAATTATAATTTTTAATTTTTCATACTTTATTATCTGTTCCATGGAAATTAGCACTCCCCCCCCCCTCCCTCAACAAATTTTTTAAGTCTTATTCCATGTACAAACAAGTTATTCACTATTCATTATTAAGCAGGGGGGAAACATGTTTATCTCGTTTATTTGATAGGGGCACCACAAGTTGGAAGAAATTTTGTAGCGATTGGGTTAGATGCTTCTTTCATAGACAAAATGAAACTACTATTTTGTTTTTGTTGACCAACATTACTTTTTTTTTTGTTAGAATTAATTGGTTTTAAAGGTGACAAAGACCTCAATATTTACAGAATCCCCTTTGATTTACCTTGTACAACAACAAAAAAAGAAAAAAAGAAAATCATAAAGGATCCCATAAGAATTGTCTTGATATATACTTTCAAAAGTACATTTTATGTTCTCTTTTAATTGCATATATTTCTTTTTGGCAAGTTGCATAATACTAGCTACCACATTGCTTTATTTGGCTTTTGGCTATGGGTCCTTTCTTTTATATCAGTTGCAAATAGAAGAGTATGAAGTATCAACTTTTTATGCTCCCGATATTTCAATATATTTATTACATGATAGAATGGGATAAATGTTAAGAATTGTGAAAAATATGGTAAGGAAAACTGAATAATTGAGTGTAAGATCAACATTAGAAAAAATGTAGAGAAATCTTTGTCCTAAATGAGGTAAAGTGACTAATCTGAGACATTTCTAAATAAAAATTGGGGCAAGTATTTTGGGGAGGGAGAAATTATTACACAATATTAAATATATTAATGGTCACAGTTTTGTGTTGGGAAGCATAAAGTTCAAGCTACATAAACTGCTAATAACAAAGGGAGTATAATATTTGAAATAATAATTTATAAATTATTTGGGAAAATGTTGATTGATTATGTTCTTTTAAAAAGAAATATCAATAGAGATATAGACTTGTAGACATGTAAAGAGAAAGAGAGCAAATTATCTGGGCATCTCGAGAAGTTTATTGGTGTAGTTGCCTTTTGGTCCCAAAACAATTATTGTTTTAGAGAATAAAGCTATAAGGGTGGAATATTATCTTCTCTTCATGTGTGTTTGATAATGAGAACTTTAGTTTCTACAAGGAGTTTATAATATGTTATGTTCATGAAATTGAGTGAACCATGAACTTTCTTTTTGCATAGGAGAAATGTGGGAACTCAAGCAAGTAATCATCACTATATGCAGAATAGTTTTGGTTAGAAAAAAAGTTTATAATCTCGACCTTTTGAAAGTATGTTGAAAGATTGCACTTTATTTTTTTTTATTCATATGCACTTTTAACCACATACCAATATACCATATTTATTTTATGTTTTTTTAATTTTATTATTTATTTATCATATTATATGATTATATCTATAGTACTTCATTGGTAGTGAATCGCAGTTCTTTCATTGGTATCTCCCTTGTATATAATTCATCTTGTACACCTTTTTTAACCACTCTTTTCTTAGGCAATTGTATTGTTGTCAGTTTACTCTAATCATATTAATCTTCACCTTCCCAACTTTCTCTACTGATTCACTCATTCCGACACATGATGTGATGATAGATGATCACCTTGATTCCTCTTATGTGCTTTTTATCACCATTGGCTCTTGTGGGCCTCCCTCCAAGATCAAGCAGAGCTTTAGAAAGGTGATAGGACTGGAATTAATCAGTTTGTCGGATTATTGTAAATCTAAGTGAACTTTTTTTAAGAAACCTACTTAATCTTATATTGGACATGCTGTGTATTAAATATGGAGCATTGATGATCTAGTTTTGATTGAACTTTCTTAGCTACTATACTAGAATTGTAGAATTCTGTAGTAGAAGCACAAAATTACATGTTTGACCTGGATAAAAAGGTTACATTTTCCACGGGTCATCTCAACAAGGAATTTATGTCAATAGGCTATTTCATCAGTGAAATTATCCAGTGTAAAGTTTTCATGTGAACCCTACTTTAATTAAGGAAGAGATGGAAACCCCTTTTAATTTCATTTATCTTCTCTCTTGTTGATTCTCTGCATTTATTCCTGTAAGTGAAGAAATCCCTTTTAATTTCATCGTGTTAAACTATCTTTGTAATCCTACTAGGACATGAATCACACAAAACACTAGAATAACAATACTTACCTGTATAAAAGTTTTCCTCGCTCAATTTTTTAAAATCCTTTTTAGGGGTATTTAAATTACTTTTACAGCTTCCTTTCTTACATCTGCTCTTAAGTTTGGCTTGCAGATTTTGGGTACGTATGTGTGCATGTCATGCCTTGAATCACATATTTTATCATTATTTTAAAACTCTCCCTCACCTTTTGTTGCTTCTTTCATAGGGGGGATGGGAAAATGATGAAACTGTTGAGGAGGCAGCTGCAAGAGAAGCAGTTGAAGAAGCTGGAGTAAAAGGAGATCTTATGGTATGATCTTTTTGTTTTCACATTTTGCTTTAAAATGTCTTAATGTTCTATCGAATTCAGTGAAATGGGCACCTTGAATTGGAGGTTTTTTTTTTCCCCCAACTGCTAGCAATGTATATGGTTCATAATCGCTGGACAGGTCATGTATGTCACTAGTTTTTTAGGTGACATTTTTTATTTAGGTTAAAACGCTAATTGAAAATGTTTGAGTGTAGCAAGGTATTGGGTTAGTAATGATTAGAGGTAGAATTGAAGTAGCTTTTATGAAATATTACAGAATTTAATGTTTGAGTTTGAGTCCAAACAATAATGGTCAAAATTCCCTAGTTCCACCTTTAATTTTATGGTACTTTTTTTAATTTGTAGTTTTCCGAATCTCTCATCTCTGTGTAAGTTAACGACACTACACAAGCAAAACCACGAATCTAGGTGGCAATTAAAAATCAAAAATCCTTTTTTGGCTGGACATATTGTTCAATGGGTATTAATTATGTGTTAAAGCTTTACTGAGGACTGATCTGAGTGGTAAAACATTATTCAATGGGAACTTGATCTGAGGGCTGTGCGCACTTCACATACCGTCGGATTACAAATATGCTTGTGATCGTTTTGCGTGCTTCTGGTGCTGAAGATGGTCAAGTTTAATATGAGGAATTTCAGGGAATTTGGACAATATTACCAGGTATGGACTTCGATTGGGAATGCGGTTCAGGAACCAATAAGCGAACACATTGCCTCTAAGGGAACTGTGTTTTTTTTAAAGAACTTGGAAAACTGAAACATCCACTTGTGACATCATTTTTACAAAATATTTCTAAATTTGTATAATTTTTATATATTTTTTTTTGGTGAAGATAATTTTTTATATTATGACAGTTTTAAAATGTTTTGATTATAATCAGAAATAGTTTAGTACTCCCTCCATGGACACAGTCGAACTTGACACACTTGCCTATGTACTAGTTTGACATGAGATTTATAGAATTAAATCTCAGTAAACATACTGAAACTTTGATATTATGAAACTATCTATAGATCTCTATTTAACAATATATTTCATGATAAATTCTGTTTCTACGTCATTATAAAACAATAGTCAAACTTAGTATATGAATAGTGAAAAAATTCAAACGTGTCAATTACTTAGGAATGGGGGGGGGGAGAGGGGGGGGGGTAATAAAGTATAATTTTTCTATAAAAGAGGGGGTGGGGGGGGGGGGGAAGGGAGGAGGATAAATTTATAGCTGTATTGGAAAGGTAGAAAGATTAAAAGTTGAAGTTGCTTGGAAAGTCAAATGATTTTCTTCAAATGTTTATTTACTTTTTAAGCTGTCAGCCATCAGTTTACTTTACCAACCAACACCTATCTCCGTACACTGTTAATTCTACGTTATAACCAAATATCGCATTATTTTTTTTCTTTTAAAGATGAATCTTTTCTATTCCCTCCCTTGTCCCATTCCACATTCCCTCACCTACCCCACATTCTCTCTTTTCCCTCATCTTTCATCCAAACACTAAAGAGAGGGTTTGTTACGCCAATATGAAAGCTGTTGCTGCTTTCATCTGTCTTTTTACTCTTTCAAGTGAATTTTTTTTTACTCCTGTTTCTTCCTTTTTTTTTTTTTTTTTTTTTTTTTTTTATAATGTTTTTGGCAGGATATATGCAACTATTCTCAATTTGAGGAAATCTTGTATTTCATTCCCAGAAAATGTCTTTCGTCTCGTATTTAAACCTTCTTTGTGTTTATTTACAGCTTTTGTTTACACATCCTACTGATATTGCATTATTGCGTGAAATCAATTTCGTGAATTTTGTCTTTGTGCCTTCTATTTATTTAACAAGATGATTTACTTATGATTGCTTGCATGACTTGACACGAGTAAAAATATTAAATGGATGAAGCTACTCCCCATTTAGGGGGCAGGAAAAAAAAAAAAGCGCCCCCAGTGATATTCTATTCTTTTCCCACCTTCACCAAGTGACTTATGAACTTGCTGACAGGAGTGTGTGTGCTTTTATGAGTATTATGACATTTGCTGCCTTCATTTTCACCTTGTTACTCAGACATCTTGTCTTTAATGTGATACCGCTCTTTCTCACCTCCATGTATGAGATGGATGATATTGGCCTTCTGATGATTCACCAATTAGTGTGAAGAAGCAAAGAATTAAAGAGGCACATGAGTGTTAGGATGATTATTTAAGCTGCTCATAAGTGCAGATTGAGACACTATATTGGACTGCTGTAAGAGAGAAGGATGCCAATGATTTGCTGATCCAGGATTTAGTACTTACTTTTTAGAATAGAGGTCATTGCTTAACATTTCCAAGGTTCAAGGCCTAGGGATGTGTCATGGAAAGAAAAGACATTTTAGGATTGAAAAGTTATTTGGTCTGGAGCTCTCATAAGTAATTTTTATTTATTTATGTAACATTAGTATAAAGAAAGTTTTCATTTATTGTCGGTTAAGTAGAATGATGCTTGGTGTATTTTAGACTAATAGGCCAGGGGAAGGGCTTTGAAAGTGACAAATGTAATGACTTTGATGCTAATCATGGCTGCCTGCCTGCCTTTATCCACAGATTGAAATCATATGCTGTATACCAACTTGGCAACTTTTCCTCATCATTTTGTTTCCTCTTGTATACTTTAATGTCATTAGTAATTGCTTAATAATTCTTTCTGATAGATTCCTACATGTATATCTAACTTGACAAACCTGATCTATGATGTATGTGGTAGATCTTTTTGTATGGAGATTTAAGTTATTGAACACCATTCTGGTTTTCGCATTAATGGGGATATTGTTAATTTCCTAATAATATCTTGTTCTTTTCCACGACCACCCCCAGCCCCCGGGATCTTCAACTGGTTGGAACTAAATCATGCTGTATGTCCTTTTCAGGATCTTCTTGGGTACTACAAATTCAAAAGCAAAACTCATCAAGATGAATTCTGCCCAGAAGGATTGTGTAAAGCAGCTATGTTTGCTATGCTAGTCAAGGAAGAACTTGGATCGTGGCCTGAGCAAAGCATGCGAAATAGATTCTGGCTTACTGTTCCTGAAGCAGCTCAGAGCTGCCGTCATGCATGGATGAGAGTTGCTCTAGTTGATGGCTTCCTCAAATGGCATGGGGACAAGTTTGCAGATAGAGATAGAGAAAGAGATGGCTTGGATTCATAAATAAGGCTTCAAAAAACATTGTGGGAAATAATAGTAGAGGATGATTCCAAGGCAATATTTGCTAGTACTGTTGGTTATTTGTCGCCGTTAATTTGATGGCCATTACCAATACTGAATCTTGCACATTAAGGATTGTAGTTTGAGCTCATTTTCATTACATACATGAATCACCAATATTTCAGAATTAATGCTAGAAGTAACACTTTGAAAGTTTAAATATCTATGCTCTGATATTGATAAGCCAATGTTCCATTTAGAATCTTCAGATTATTAAAATTATGAGGAAATTTTCTAAATTTCTCTATATATATGAACAAACATAGTCACATAAGATCTAATTTTATCTTATCTCAATGAGATTTCTTTTTTACTTTTAATTTTTTTTTGAGGGAGCTCAATGAGTATTTTATTACTACTGTAATTTTTCTAATTTTTGCTACTGTGAGATCAAAGATATTTGTGAACAAAAATTTGCATTAATATATATAAATGGGACTAACATTATGAAACTAAAGGAGTAACATTCACATCAATAGTAACCAGTAAGTCTGTAAATTACCAAACTACTTGAGTAATTACCAAAATACCAAATCACCTCCTTGACTTGTGTTATTTGCCTCGGCTTACACTTCGTATTAATTTATCAAGTCTTCTAAGAAGCTAAATCACTGATTCTCTTCCATGTTACCTGATCTTACATTTTACCAATCCTTAATCCCATTTCATTCACAACAGTTTTCGATACTGTAAAACCTAGCTCTAAGGTATGCATATACAGGCATCCCATCCACCCAATTCCCCCCTACCTCTTTCGAATTAAAAGTAAAATAATTATGTTGCAAATAGGGGGAAAAAAAAGGGAGGGGAACTTATTGCTGTCATCCCCACATTATCTTTCCGATAACTGGATCTGTTAAGGCTGGAGAACATACAGGGTTGTACAAGAACCACAAATGGTAAAAACTTTCAAAATAAAACACCAACACAAGAGAAGGCCAATAACTCGATCATGGCAACTAATTTGTACAAAATTTCCGTACCAATTCTATATATATATTTACCCTGAAGCTCAAAGGGACTATTGACATAAAATAATGCAATACAAATGGTATACTGCTACTTCCCTTTGCCTCGTGTATTTACCAGTAAACAACAGTGAAATAAGCCAACTGCCCATGCCTTTGCTTGCTCATCAACCATTCCCTCTTTATTTAACAATAACTTCCGCCAATGATGCATCATCCATATAAAGATGACATGCTAATGAGCATATACTGGATGATGCAAGGCAATAGCAGGATGCATTTGAACCTCTCCGTAAAAATTGAGAGGCCAAACTTCCCATTAGCTGCCGGTGACATGAATTCTATTGCTACCTTCTCCACACTTTTCTAGGCTTCATCAAGAACTATATCAGCAGGATCTCCAACCCATGGTTTTCCTTCTCTCCATCTAAACTTTATCCTCAACTTCCCATTAGCATCAACCCCCACAACTTCTCCCTTGCTTGCATGAGTTTCCATCCCCCATCCCCAGCGCGGGGCCACCAGCCCTTCTCTAATCTTCACTTTGTCCCTAACTCTGAACTGCCTAATTTTTTCCATTTCTGAAGCCTTGCAAATCCAAAGCCTTTCCAAGAAGCAGAATGCAACCCAAAGCTGTCCTTCATCCATGCGGTGTACGACACCAATGCTGGAAGGAGTCACCTCTCCCCATTGGTGTGTTGGGTTTGTCACCGATTCCTTAACCTTAACCCAGTCTCCGATATGGATCTCCTCCTCCTCGACCACCTCAACTTCAGATGGGTCCAGCATCCAAGCCTTTGAACCAGCAGGTGTATAAATTCTTAGCTTGCCGTCTGCATCAATTGATGTTATTGTCCCGACACTAGCATGACTGTGACCTGACCAGCCAAACCTTGGCTGCTTGATTGAGAATTTTACTCGTACTTTTTGTCCAAGCATTAGCTTATTAACCTTCTCAAGATGAGAAATGAGTCCCACCCAATTTTCTTGCTCTCCACAGAAACCAACAGAAACAGTTCCATCCCATTCATCACCCTCATATCCTAGTCCCTGTACAACCCCTATACTGCCCGGGCCAATAGATTTCCAATTTCCAGCACCATCCTTCAATCTCACCCACTCACCAACATCAAACACTGCCTCAATCTCCAAGTCAGCAGGATCTGCTCTCCAGAGCCCTGGCAAGCCAAAAAATGCTACCCTTACTTCTCCATCAGCATGAACACTGGTAATAATGCCTCGGGATTTCGAATTGGCTCCTCTCCAGCCCCATCTTGGCTCTGTTAGTTCAGCACGAAATTTTACATACTGCCCAACCTTGAGACTTGGGATCTTCTCCATGTCCGTGTCATGAGCATGCCACTTTCCTTTACGGAAGCAACAAGCCAGCTCTAAATAACCATTATCTTGTACACTATGAACAACTGCTACACCTTCCTTTCCTATACTGCTCCAGTCATAACTTGGCCTAGCTCCCAAGATGGGTTTTGATCTCACCCAATCACCGACTTCAAAACCTGACAGACAGGCAGCATCTCCAGGAGAAACTCTCCAGAGGCTGGATCTGCCAGCTACCTTCACCTGCATTGATACAAATACTTGAGCTCCTATGATGTACAGGATTAACAAGGCCAGGAAAAAATGCAGGCAGTTAAACCATTTGAACCGAACCGTACTTATAAATAATTAATTAGCACTGTATCATGCTCACTCAATAATAATATGCTGAATACATACATGTTAAGGAAGCATAAAAGCAAAACGTATTACGACTGTCAAAGAAACTGAAAAATAATTTTATGTAAAACAGAATGCATCTTTCCGTTAACTAATATAATTTTTAATTGAATGTTTATCAAGTTGGAAGAAATTTAGAAATTTTGGCCCTATATAACATTAACAATAGCTTTGGTACAGAGAATAGCATCACAGCAACAACAGTATTGGGTGCGCTGAATGACATATTGCTGTAGATTCCGCCAAATTCCAATAAAAGCTTCTAATATTCTTTCTTCTTTTTTTAGGTCAAAGGGGAATTCATTTTTACAAGTTCGTGAAGTAATTGGATTTTCTTGAGTAACAATATCAAAAGCTTTTATTTAATTCTTTGCTCATTGCTGCAATTCAACACATTGCCAGCAACATTTGTCATCAAATTAAGCAAGGCAGTGGAAGGGCTAAGAAACTGGAAAATGGTTGAAGGCAAATGGCCAATGAAAGGAGCAGCATAGGTCCTGTTCTATTTACCGAAAAGATAGTAAGCATGAATTGTTTTACTGATCAAAACTCTTAACGCTCAATGAGCTACTTTACCCTCAGCAAGTATTGCCATTGGCCCACTGCCAACAAAATGATATATATCCAATTCAAGTAAATCCTGAAAGTACAACCTCCTCTACAGCACCATCCGTTTTAATGAGTGGGGCATGCATGTTTTCAGATGAATCAAGTCCATATGAAAATCTGTTTACTTCAAGGGTGTATAAAACTCCTAATTTATATACAAACTATTGTAGTCGACAAAAATAAATTAAAAGGGATTGAGAAATATTCTTACATTTAATGTTCCATCCATGTCAATTCGCACAATTTTTCCAACAGTAGCTGGAGATTCATTAGACCATCCAAGCTGAGGAACAGAAATAGATTGCATCACATGAATCTCTTGCCCAACTTCAAAAGGAGCCACCTTCTCCATATCGGTCACAGAACAAGTAAAGAGCTTGCTTCTAAAGCAAAAGGCAACACCCATGTCACCATCTTCCTCTAGGCTATGGATAACTCCAATGCTATTTCTGTTGACATCTTCCCATCCGTATTTGGGAGATGAGACTGAAGCTTTAACTCTAACCCAATCTCGTACCTGCAATAATGCAGTAAGGACTGAAACACTGGTAGATAGCTGACAAGTACATATCATCACAAATTGAAAAGAAGTTACCTTATAATCCTCCACTTTTTCCATGTCAGCAGGATCAGCTTGCCAAGGTATTGGCCGGTTGGGAATTTCAATAATTATGAGGCCATCACTCTCTATCTCACTTATTCTTCCCACACTATGATGAGTTTCACCCCCCCAAGCATATCTTGGTTCGGCAACTGAACGTTTTACACATATCCGGTCACCAACCTAAGGAAATACAAAACAGATTAATTAACAATTGAAACAAGAAAAGGCAAAAGATAACAAAAACCAATTGCTAAGAAAGATTCTACTTACCCTGAAAGGTTCAACATGCTCAACCTCTTCAGGCTCACAATGCCACGGATTTGGAAGGTAGCTTATTTCCAGCAACAAACTACTATCAGGTCTAATACAATACACTATACCAATACTGCCCGGTGTTACAGCACCCAAGCCATGTTTGGCTGTGGTAAGAGATGGGCGTATACGAACCCAGTCCCCAACCTTGTATTCTTCTACTCTTTCCATCTCAGCAGGATCAGCCTTCCATCCTCTGGAGGCCCCTGGAAATCCAACCCGCAATATCCCATCATCATCTACACAAAGTACAGTTCCTATGCTGTCGCGTGAGTGGCCCCGCCAACCAAACCTAAAACATAAATTACACTTGTATTGAAAATTACAGTAAAAAAATGAGCATTTTAAGGTAATCAATGAGCAAAATTCTTGAAAATATTTGCACCCATGTATAATGTAAGAAAAATCTAACAGAAATAATACCCCACTATAACTAACCTTGGTTCCTTGATATCTTGTTTAAGTTTCACATGCTGTCCCCTGTCTAATGGAATTACTTTTATAACTTCATTCACCAAAACACGAGCCTCTCCAGTACAAAATGATATTATCAAGTGATCCTTGTCAGGAATACTCTGTACAAAACCAACACTCATCTGAGTTGCACCTTGCCAACCATACTTTGGAGCAGTGACACTTCTTCTAAATTTCACCCAATCACCAGCTATGTAACTACATAAAACAATTAACAGATAGATTTAACAATTAGAAGGAAAGAAAAAGATGGTCAGAATAGTGCTCTTGGAATTTACAATGCTTACATTGTAGGAGACAGTTGAACCCCCTTATCCAAAAGTGCCTCCATCAGATCTTCAGAAATCCATTCTCGAGGAAGGGCCTCTAAAAAGTCTTTTAAAGTCTTACCACTGTTATCCGTCACAAAACATGCAATACCGCATAAGTAATACACATAACACATAATCT